GACTGCTTAGTCAAATACACGATATATTTGACTACTTATATTTGACTCCTTAGAACTTCTTGGACTTAGAAATTTTCTCTCCAACTTAGAAAAAGAAATTTTTGAAGAAAGCAGAAATACACAAGATGGGATTTGAACCCACAACCTTGTGAATCTCAGTCACTCTTCCTTACCACCCAGCCACTGTGCTACCGATGCTGAACCTAGTTTAAACAATGATCTTGACTTTCAATGCAGTACAATGCGGTATAGGCTATAGTATAATACTAGAATTACAAGGATATGTCGTATATGAAGAGAAACTATTGCGTGGAGAACACGATAAATAGATTATAGACCTCATAGTTGGTCTATACAGGATATATAGACCTCGTAAAAGACCTCGGGGGACCTCGGTCTTTTACTCGGTCTATATATCCTGTATAGACCTCCTAACCGGTCTATAATCTATACTTATTACTATACGCGATAACTGTGTATACTTAGTTATGGCAAATGAAAATGAATTTGAGAAATTGATCACTATATCCGGTATATTACTATAGCCGCCAACCTTATAGTAGGGATCTCAGCGCGTGCACTGCGCATGCAGTTCGCGCATGCAGCCAAACGCGCATCAGAAGTGGCATGCAGAATTTTTGCCAAACACTGGCTATTTTTTGCAGAAAATTGAGACATTGAACGAAGGAGAAATGGCTGAAATTTCCTTGCAAGGAGATGGTGGTTACAGGCTACCTGCTTACCAGAATGGGATCTTGTTTGGTATGTTGGCCGCCCATGTGCTCTGGAATCGATTTGTAGCTTTCGTTGGAAGGCGCGAAGCCGTTTTCGTTCCAAACGACAGGGTTCTTTCAGAGCGGAAAATGGCGACCATGCCGATCGTTGCCACGATCTCCGAGTTGAAAATCTCTGGATTTAACCGGGGAAAAGCTCTGGATTCAATGGTAAACCCGGCAGAAATACTTGATGTTGGATGTTGAGAGTTTGCAGGAAATTTGACCGAAGCGTTCATGCTCCACGTGACGGTGTTCGTTCTTGTGAATATTATTTCTGCATTTCTGACATATCGCCGTGCATATGGGCCGTTGTTCCAGAGACATCGATTGTCAGGTGTGGACAGGGTTTTGTTCGAGTAGTCGTGTGGAGACGTGGTTTGGTTCTCACAGGCAACAGGAGCGGCTCCTCGGGATGGCGAAAGCCAAATCTACCCAAAGCCGACTTCACGATCGCCGATCTTCTGGCGGCGCATTTTCACTTATGCTCTGCAACAAGCGGCACAAGCTGTGGAAATCGTCAGATGATATTAGCCTATCAGTGTGCCCAGAACTTCTAGTGACTCTACTGAAGCATTAGCTTGAGTACTCTTTCTTTCTAGCCCTCTAGCTCTCTTTCTCTCTCTCTCCCTCTCTTTCTCTCTAAAAATGTTCCAAACTTCAAAATCTAGGTCGAGCTGCATCGGGGAGTCGTCAAATACCGACTCACTGAGCCGGTTTTTGGCGATCGCCATTTTCTTTCAGTCTGCCAACGCCGCGTTGAAAAATCGATGACATCATTGAATGCGCAAAGCCCTGCGCAGTGTCCGCGCTGACATCCCTACTTATAGGCCATACCGACTGTACATGTAGCTGTGTTACATGGAAGTGAGTCCGAGTGTATTGACCTTGAAGACTAGCTATCACCAGGGTACAGGACAGGCTGGAGTAGTGTGGCTGGAATGTGTATGTGAATGAGCCACTGCTCAGTGTGCAGGGGGACTAGCTCACATGGTAGAGCGCTCGCTTAGCATGCGAGAGGTACCGGGATCGATACCCGGGTTCTCCAGGCTGACCTTTTTTTTCTTCCCAATTTGATGGCAGCTAGCCAGGACTCAGCTAGCCGCATTCCATACATGTCATTACGGTTGTACCTTGTTGGTATTCATTTTTGTCTATTAGCATACAACCCGGGCACAACATTGGATATGGCATCACAATTCTCATTATGGTTTGCTCCTTGGTGCAGGGCATTGAGCAGTGCAGTAATCTGGAGGAGCTGATCCTGAATGATAACTGCATTGACAGATTATACGGTAAGAGAACTAGCAGGGTGCAACTCGAAGTTGCAGAGCACACAGTAGTTATCAGTTCCAATACTAGTATCTATTATCCGGAAAGACGTCCATCATCCACGCCCATCATACACTCTACCTCCTTCAACACATGCGCGTTCTATACATATCATGATAAGAGAATATGACATCAGAGACATAACAGTGCAGTGCTGCAGTCTGGGGATAAAGATAGTTGAGCCAACGGTCCTGGTCTGGGAAACAGGATCAGTCTCTCTATTGCACTATATCATGTGGGAGTCAGAGATGAACTGCCCCCCCCCCCCACTCTTGGATGCAAAATGCAGGGTACAATAGTCCTGCCAGGGTACACAAGCCCTACCGGGGTACAATAGCCCTTACCTGGGTACTGGAATCCCAACCCAACCTGTTTTGCGTTTTATTCTGCTGTTCAGACGTGACGTCACTCAGCAAGCTAAAACATTTGTCGCTCAGCAAGAACTGCATCATGTCGCTGGATGGCTGCAATATAGACAAATTGGTGTGTTTGAGAGTGCTGTCTATTGCTAGCAACAGCCTGACATCCTTGAGTGCCCTGAAGGTAAGTTAGTGAAAGGGACAAGAATGATGGTATGTAAGTGCCGATGAATAACTTATGGTGAATGTGCTCACCCTGCTTAGCGATGCCGGGTGTGATGTGATGTGATTCACAACACACTCGCTGCACTGCATGCCGCTGTGGCTCGTGTGTGTGTGTTCTTTTCTGGAGATGTGTCATGATTGGAATGTGAAGCGAGTTTAATTTTAAGACTGTGTCTCAGGTGTGCTTTACTCAGAGTACAGGAGAGTGCAAGTTGACGTGCCCGAGTGTGCGAGTGGGTGAGTGCGAGTTTGTGGGTGGGTGCGAGTTTTGGGTGGGTGCGTATATGAGCGAGATTGTGTGTGTGTGTGTATGTGTGTGTGTGTGTGTGTGTGTGTGTGTGTGTGTGTGTGTGTTTTGCCTACGTGCATGTCGGTATGTGCAGCATGTGCGTATCACCCTCATTTGACTGTTCTAACTAGTTATCGTCATTCTCAACTTCTCGCTGTCTTTCCTTGTGTCTATGCTGCAGGATCAGAGATCTCTCATTGAGCTGTATGTCGGTGACAACTACCTGCAATCAATACAATGTTTGTTTCCTATCAAGGTATGGTTTTGCTAACGATTGTATGTCAAAACATAAATTACACCTGATATATATATATGGCACGCCTCAATACTCAGGCCTTACACGAGAACGGAGCAGTGCTGCGGTGCTTTCAGTGCTTTCAGTGCGGTGGTATGCAATTGTCCATGCAGGATAGTGAACACCATGCAGATACTCAGCATTACAGGTCATGTACACACCCTACTGCCTGTGTTGCTGAGATGACACAATGCTAACATACCATTCATTACATGTACTCATACATATGCTGACCAGTACCAACTGACTTTCAGGTGGATACTCATATAGCCAGGGGCGGATCCAGGGGGGGGGGGGGATCCAGGGGGGGGGGGGGTCCAGGGGGGGGGGGGAGTCTGCGGAATCCCCTAAATTTTGTAAATGTACTACTGGAAATCATTATGCATATACACACACATCTATCAGCTATTCGGTTTTGGCTAACCTGGACCCCCCTGTAGAGATCTCTGGATCCACCCCTGATAGGTTTTGTACTGACTTGGTGTCGCCCTATAACTTAGCCCGAAGCATATCATGCTATCATGCTGTCATGCTATTGTCGTCACGGGTTTGAAAACCGTGAACGCACTGCCTCTACGCTCCTCGCCACGCCACACAACAGAGAGCCAGTACAAATTGTTAGAGAGCTTTTCTTCTACTTCATTTCAGTAGGCGACTGGGAAACTCATAAAGAAGAACCAACACTGACACCGAACGACTGACAACGAACGTCTGACTCTGACAACGAATGTCTGACGACTGACGACGACCGTCGGACAACTGACCACGAACGTCGGACAGCTGTCTCTGACAACGAACGTCTGACAACTCACGACTGACATGGCAAAAGGAAAACATGATATCAGAAATTGGTGCCCTCGTCAGCACAAAAGGTGGTGTACTCAGCACAAAAAGGTGCACTTGTCAACAACAAAGCAGCGCAGCAGCTTGTACGGGTCAGCAACAAAGCAGCGCAGCAGCATGTACGGGTCAGCAGCACAGAGACACAAATACAGCAGCAGCTACGACGAAGAGACGACACGTGCAGCCACATGTACACACAGAGACACAAATACAGCAGCAGCTACGACGAAGAGATAACACGTGCAGGCGCAGGTACAACACTATCCCCTACCAAAAAAAGACATCCACTCCTGTGGATGGAAGCAAAAGTGAAGTGTATAAAAAACGGAAGAAGACAGACCGGAGAAGAAGACAGAAAGACAGGGGAAATGAATATGAAGCAACATAAACAGGCGACAATAAAACACAAAAGAGGTGGGCCACAACTGTTGAACGCATGACGAGTAGGCCAGGAGGGTTAACACCAGTCGGGAGCCCCGCAAAACTGTGCACCAATCAACGGAACCTGCAAGCAACAGATTTTGCAAAGGACCCCGGCTGGCGAGCTGTTCGACCTGTGTTTGTCCCTTTGGATCTTTTTATTCTTAGAACAGCATCAACCTAGTACGCCACCCATCCACCAGTCATGACAAAACAAAAGTACAAATGCATGAGAAAACAGGTTATGCCGACGGACCCAGCAACGCTTCCAGGAGCGGCGAGACCGACAGTACGCACCGACCGAGAAGACTGGGGCAGCAGGACGCACACTGGCCGGCTGTCCGAAAACCGATGGCGCTACAGAAACTCCGAGAATCACAGGACACACACAGAAAGAGAGAAGGACTGACGCAAACATCTCAGCCATCACCAAAAATCAGAAAAGCACACGAAGGAAGGGAAGAACAGCCAGGAAGAACACGTCGACTGAAACAGGAGCAATTAATCAGTGAGGACACCATTGAGGACACACAAACAAATCGGTTACCAATACGCAAAAGATAATTATCCATATAAAAATCGCTCTGTGAGCGGTTCTGAAAAACCTTTACTGGTACTGCCCCGTCGTAAAAGTAAGAAATTAGAACTGGCCCATTGTCCCCCCAAACGCGAACTGATCCACCTAAATCGCGAATGACGGGACCCGAACGCACCAGTAGCACGAGGTCGGGAGGGCACAGGATCACGGCAATTATCATAGGGTATTAAACACCAGTAGTAGTAGTAGAATTTATTATTTTGATAGGTAAGCCTACCGCTAGTACAGTACATGGCCTATGGTCCGGACCAACGTCCCCATCTGCATCCACAGGTAGGAACCTCGTGCTACTGGTGCGTTCGGGTCCCGTCATTCGCGATTTAGGTGGATCAGTTCGCGTTTGGGGGGACAATGGGCCAGTTCTAATTTCTTACTTTTACGACGGGGCAGTACCAGTAAAGGTTTTTCAGAACCGCTCACAGAGCGATTTTTATATGGATAATTTCAGCTCTTTTTCCGTTCCCTCCCCACCCCAACCCCGAAGGTAAACATGATGACCACGCGCGCGATGTACTGTATGTAGCCATGCGACTGCAATAACACACTGATACATACCAGCCCTCCCCGCCTCGCTACCCCGCACACAGATACACAAACATGTGTATGCACACGGCACACACACGTGGCCAAGCACACATACGCACATGCACACGGCACAAACAGGAAATTCTTCATGTATAATGCCATGCAAAGCAGTGACCACCGTACTTGAGGAAGTCAGTTGTGAAACAAAAATAATTCAACTACAGCGTGTAGACAAGCTGACGGCCAAAGCACAACATAGCAAACATGACATTTGCCCAAGGATTGCAGTTTGCAGACCATGCCATGGAAGCAGCGAATACAGAATGTAATATCATACAAAGTGACAAGCAAGGACGTGGCCATCATACACCAGAAACTTGCAGAAAGTCACATATCCAACAGATAGAGAAGTGAACAGCAATCTGATACAGCCCACACAGGACAAAGCGGACCTGATACTCGTCCCAGGATCGCAAGTGGCAAACCCTTTTCAATGCATAACATGCAGGTGTACGTTAGACGCATGAACATCTGACCGTGTCGCCAGCATACAATGTCATCACATGTTTACCCCACAAGTTACACACATGCACAGTAGAAGCACAATGAAAGCAATGGAAAAGTACGATGTGGTTGCTGAAGCATCTTCACACTTCAAATTCAGACTTCAATGTGGTCGTCACAGGATGATATACCTGCAAGATACAAGTGATGAAGAAAGAAAGCAGAAGGTCGTGAGGTAGGCTATGAGACACCGCAAACGGTTCACCTACATGTCTGTTCAGGGCTAGTGCACTCACACGGAGAATTGTCATAATCGAGCATTTCCCAAACTGAGAAGTGCAATGAAATCCACTTGCATGCACAGGAGCAATTTTGCAATATTATGATGCGCAATTCGACACGATCTGCGATGCTGCGTGCGATGTGCCCTGCTGTCATGATAGTGACAGTCACCGCTGTATGTTTTGTCAACGTCGCCCGTGCACTCTTCTGTCAAGTCCAAAGTGCTCACATACTTGGCAATGTTTTTGCAGTGATTAACTTTTATCCTAGTTATGTCACGGGTAACTTTAATGAAGTACCCGCAGACCGTGTCGATCTGCACATCGTCCACTCTCTCATGTACTTGGCCTGCTTTGTCTGTGTATCCATTTCATGTGCGATCCACAAAATCGACTAGACAGTGGGTGCAATACGCTCTCTACCTGAAGACGTTCTTCTGGCGACATCTCGCCATGTACTTGGCCTGGCTTTGTCTTTGTATCCATTTCATGTTCGATCAACAAAATCTCAATGCACTACAGAGACTAGACAGTGGGTGCAATACGCTCTCTATCTGAAGACGTGAACCATTAAATTTTTTGGAAAAGTTATACGTACACCTGATGTGACGTAATGAAGTACAGGAATAGAGAGAGTGACTACAATACGCTCTCGACCTTATAGTGATAACGTGAGTACAAGACACTCTCCACCTGATAACGTGTTAGAAGGTAACATGTCTACAGTCCCACCGTACCCTTCCGACACGACTGTGGACCATTAAATTTTTTTGAGAAGTTATACGTACACGCGATACCCTGGCACACACTGGCAACATATCAATGGGGTGCCTTACCGTCGTCTAGAGGAGACGTCTTCGCAGCAATATTTTCCCTCCTGCGCATTCAGTCGCCGACGCGACAGCGTTCACGGGGCCGTTCCAGTTGCGGAAGACATTCGATTCATCGGGCCAATTCAGAAACAGGGCCGTGGACACACAGGGGGCAGAGGAGAGACATTGTTAGTGGACAAGAAATATGCAGTGGCAAGTGGCGAGTGCCGCATGGGTGTCAAGTTGTCATGCACAATTCAGCTATTACTTACGGTCCAGCTAGTCCTGCCATTGCTCGCTCGTCCTGGTTCCTCCTCGTTCGTCTTCCTGCACGTCTGCACTTCTCCTTCCCCACCGTTGGCTTTGCGGTACGGGGGTGCCGGAAGGAATTCCCACCATGTATCCATGTACATGAAGTCCCACCATGACTCTCCATGTACATGTCCACGGCCACGTCAGCAGTTTGTATAGTACCGGAAGGAGTTCCCACGATGTCTCCAAAGGCCTAGAGCGGACGTCTTTGCAGCAATTCTTTTCGCCCTGCGCATTCAGTTCGCCGACGATGTCTCCAAAGGCAAAGGCCTAGAGCCTAGTAGAGGGGACGTCTTTGCAGCAATTCTTTTCACCCTAGTCACTGCTGCCAAGTCTCGACTCCCCAAAATGGATGGAAGTGACGAATATGGAGGACGCTATCCTAGGTAAGTAACGTGATGGAATTTTCTCATCTTGACATGTGTAACACGAACCTGAATTTCTCATTTGGAACCCTGCACATTCACTCCGCCGACACGACAGCGTTTACGGGGCCGTTCCAGGTGCAAAAGGTCCACGTCAGCAGTTCTCAACTATTTCGCGTACGGGATAGTCGCCGCGACAGCGTTTAAGGGGTCGTTCCAGGTGCAAAAGGTATCCATCAATGGCACTTTGCAGTATGGGGTACGGAAAAGGGGCCTCCTCGTTCGACTTCTGCAGTTCTCC